TAGTATTTATGAAGATTGTAGGAAATCATGAGATTAATAATAGACGCTTTTTTTTCACTATCTTGTACTTGGCTGGAGCCTGTTTATTTTATGTGACTAATTCACATTCATAAGAAAATTATTGCTCAGCCAGCATTCCCACCTGTCTTTGTCTTTCAGCAGCTGGGATTTGTTAAGGCCTGGGCAATTCTAATGGCTGTAAAGTGTCTGCCCTGCATGTGCATTTCTCTTGCTTCTTTCCCTCTTTCACATTTCCAAATGAAAATAGGCTTTTCTGTGTAGAAGAAGAGTGTGTTCCTTGGATCTGGTATGTCTGTCTGCCTCCTGCCCTGAAAACACATTTAATTGACTCATCACTGTATACTACTGAGTCTGAAGGCAGAGCTGCGCTCTAATGAACACCGTCAACAGTTTTTGTTGGGAGGGTGGCTCATCATTGTTGGCAGCCTTCTGTGTACCTGGCATCCATGGACTTGTTCTCCTTTTGTCTTCACAGTTTTGGGAAGTTGGCACTGATAATTCCATCTTATTGGATGAAGATATAGAGAATCATGTTCAAAAAGCATGACTGAGTTCACAATGTCAACAGTGGAGGTGAATTTGGTCCAGGTGCACTTGATCAACAGCCCTGGTGCTCTCTCAGGGGAGCAAAGATTATCCAGAGAGGCCATCTGTCCCCAGTGTTTAGGCGTGTAGGTTTTGGAACCAATTTAAACTGGGTTTGAATCTTGACTCCATGATAAACTCTTGAGATTTGGTCAAGTTGCTTAACCTCCCTTGGGGAAATGAAGTTTCCCCACCTGTGAAATGGACATGTCTTAGTCTGTTCAGGCTGCTATAAGAGAATACCATAAACCAGTGGCTTATAAACAACAGAAATGTATTGCTCACAGTTCTGGAGGCTGCGTAGTCCAAGATCAAGGCACCACTAGATTTGCTGTCTGGCCAGGGCCTGCTGTTTGGTTCATAGATGGAGCCCTCTTGCAGTGCCCTCACTTGGTGAAAGGGGCAAACAAGCTCCCTCAGGTATTAATTGTGTTGATGAGCGCTCTGCCTCCCAGATGCCCAACCTTCTAATGCCACATTGGGGATTAGGTTCCAACATGTACATTCTGGGAGAACATTCAGACTATAGCAGGAGGTGACCCTTACCTCTTAGGGTTACTGAGCCATTCACATAGAGCATTTAGCAGTGCCTTGCCAGGCTCAGAGTGAAACAGGATAGCTGCTCTCAGATCATGATAACATTTATGTAAATGAACTGGCTTCCGAGGTCAGAAAGCCAGGCCAAGGGGCTGGGAAGACAGGAGGGTAGTAGAAGTGGTGGGAAGTGGATGGGAGGAAGCCTGAAGAAACTAGGAGTGGGCCTAGGGGTCCACCTGCTTCCCTTTCAGTAGGAGTCCTTCCTGAAAGTGGACGGAGGGGAGCATTTTGTGTATTTTTATTTATTTATTTATTTTGGAGATGGAGTCTCCCTCTGTTGCCCAGGCTGGAGTGCAGTGGCTAAATCTTGGCTCACTACAACCTCTGCCTCCTGGATTCAAGCAAGTCTCATGCCTCAGCTCCCTGAGTAGCTGGGACTACAGGTGTGTACCATCACATTCAGCAATTTTTTTGTGTGTTTTTGGTAAAGACAGGGGCTCACCATGTTGCCCAGGCTGGTCTTGTACTCCTGAGCTCAGGCAATCCACCTGCCTTGGCCTCCCAAAGTGTTGGAATTACAGCTGTGAGCCACTACTCCCAGCCTATATTGCGTATTTTAAATTCAAGAGGAAGATGGGATTTGAGGAGAAGAGTATGGCTGATGGGTGGGTATGAAATAGAAGACCTAGTCCAGGAATACAATGATGGGACTGAAGCCGAAGATGCTCAGGAAAGGGAGTATGGGCAGCAGGAGGTGACCAGATGAGGAGCGATTTCTGGGTGCAGTCATGTGGGCAGAGTTGGGTTGAATTCAGAGGGTCCAAGCGAATAGGGAAAGAGGCCTGATGCAACAAATGTGAGCCCGGAGAGTGCTGTCTCAGAGCGGGCCACCCACCAACCCTGGAAAGGCGGCTGTGCTGTCACCAGGGGCGCTGTCCACGGGATTGACACATTTGTTGCCAGAGATTAAGAGGGGTTTAGATTCTTGAATTTTGACTGAGATGGCTTTTCCTTCTTTTCTTTAACCAAGGACTTAGACTCCTGAAATGTCGGGAAAAAGGTTGACAGGGAAAATGTCCACCCTCCTCCTGCTGCTTTTCAATCTCTGTATTTTTCTCTTTTGTGGTGGGGGTGGACAGTAAATAAAGGCATTTCATTTTAGGTGTAACCTGGGCAGATTTTGGAAAATGTAGACTGATTGCAAAATCATCCTATGTTTTCATCAGTTATCCCTGTAATAGTCAGTCCTTTATTTTTATTTAGAGACAGGGTCTCACTCTGTCACCCAGGCTGGAGTGAAGTGGCACAATGGCAGCTCAATGTAGCCTTGACCTTCTGGGCTCAAGCCATCTTCCCAGCTGAGCCTACCAAGTAGCTGGGACAACAGGTGTGCACCACCATGGCTGGCTAATTTTTGTATTTTTTTGTAGAGACTGAGTCTTGCTATGTTGCCCAGCTGGGTCTCAAACTCCTGGACTAAAGTGATCCTCACACTTTGGCCTCCCAAAACATTGGAATTACAGGCATGAGCCACTGTGCCTGGCCTGTAATAGTCATTTCTAAGTAATACTAATTGTAGCATAAAAGGATGCTGGGGCTGGGCGCAGTGGCTCACAACTATAATCCCAGCACTTTGGGAGGCTGAGGCAGGCGGATCATGAGGTCAGGAGTTCAAGACCAGCCTGGCTAACATGGTGAAACCCCATCTCTACTAAAAAAAAAAAATACAAAAATTAGCCAAGCATGGTGGTGTGTGCCTGTAATCCCAGCTACTCGGGAGGTTGAGTCAGGAGAATCGCTTGAACCCAGCAGGCATAGGTTGTAGTGAGCCAAGATTGTGCCATTGCACTCCAGCCTGGGTGACAGAGCAGGACTCCATTTCAAAAAAAAAACAAAAAAGGGTGCCTTGATTAAACAGATTTTTTTTTTTTTGAGATGGAGTTTCACTCTTGTTACCCAGGCTGGAGTGCAATGGCGCGATCTCAGCTCACTGCAACCTCCACCTCCTGGGTTCAGGCAATTCTCCTGCCTCAGCCTCCTGAGTAGCTGGGATTACAGCACCACCATGCCCAGCTAATTTTTTGTATTTTTAGTAGAGACAGGGTTTCACCATGTTGACCAGGATGGTCTCGATCTGTTGACCTCGTGATCCACCCGCCTCGGCCTCCCAAAGTGCTGGGATTACAGGCATGAGCCACTGCGCCCAGCCAAACAGATATTTTATTAAGTCATCTCCATGAGTCAGAGTGACAGGTTTCTGGTTGATTCTGCAATAATTGGTAAAATTTATCAATAATTCTCTTCAAGAGTCACTCTGTCTCTGTTCATTCATTTTATATTGGAAGGGGGTCCTTATGAAATTAGTTACTCAACCTAGGCATTCTTTCATTGTTGCTGTGGAAACCAGCAATAAAAATCATGGGCTAAGGAAGAAAAATAATTGGTGCTGAACATCTCTGTAAAAATAGATGAGAATTAAGTTGCTGTTTGTAATCTAGAATTGTTAAAAATCATAATACTTAGAACAAAGCTGAGACTCATAAGGTTCTGAACTAATTATATAACTGAATCATTAATAGTTTTTCTTGGAAACACCGTGGTAAACAAATTGCCTAGCCTTTAAAGGAGGGTTTCCACAGGTAGCAACATTCACAGAGCCACTGCCATCAGTGCTGCAGTGTGAGCTCAGTCAGGTACATGCTGGACACATGCCACCAGCTGGCCACTGTTTCAATAGGGACAGGAACTGTGCCTTGCAGAGAGACATTATCAGGTGAAACCAGGTCGAAGGCTGAGCAGGAGGCTGCCGGTGGTTTTTCTCATGATTGGCTGATGGGCGGTGAGGGGAGAGGCAGCCAGAGAGGCCAGCACTGGCTGCTGTCCCAGGGGGGCAGTTACTGAGATGCCCTCCTACCCCGTGCCCAGTGAGAGTGGCCGCTGAAAGTGGTTGTCACATGTGGGTGTTTTGTAAAGTGCATTTCTCATGTTCTTTGAAAGGATGGAATGTCATGGGTTTGGTGCCCTGTGTCACACCCTTGGCTGTTAGAGTCCATGGGACAGGCGGAGTCAGGGTTGGGGCCTTTAATCCAGCCCTGTTATGTTATTGACGGAAGAAACAGAGGCTCTGAGAGGGTGAGGGATGGGCTGGGCCACTCCTTGCTCAGGAATCACAGCGCTGGTCCCTGCTGGCCAGGCTTGGGCTGCCTTCCACATCTCTGCAGATTTCCCCCTGATGTCTTCAGCTGCATCCTGCTAGTTTGAACAATTTTCCTTTCATAAAATATTGTAGTTAGGCAGTCACTCTGCCCTACAGTGTCGGATCTCACCAATTAAGATATGCTTCATTAATTTTATATGATACCCATTTTTATCCAAAGAAGAAAAACATCATTTTGTGCTTCTGTGAAATCTTTCAAGTAATTCATTTATGTTTATTTAAAAAATAAGTAAATTGTTCCTTTGTCAATCCTAAAGCCTCAAAGCTTATGGGAATTTTATGTGTTGACTCTGGATGACCTGTTTTATCTGGGTGTGAGATACAGATATATAGTGTATGGGTATTAGGTAGAATGCTGTGTCAGGTGTCCCTGAAAATGATAGAAGCTATCATTTTGCTGAAAGGTGATGTCAGGACATCAATAATGTTGTGGATATGTTTCAGTAGTTTGGTAAAAGCTGTTGTGGAGTTGTAAAAATTAGCCTAGTATAAAGGTCCCATCTTAGGAATATTCTGTTTTCAGCCAAATCACAGATGCTCCTGCTCTATGATAGTCCATGGTGATGTGGTATAGGGGGTAAAGTGTGACGATGCAGGTTCAAGTGATGGAGACATGTTTTTCTTTTCTGCTCTTCTGCAGGAAAGACCCACGAAGACAAACATGCGGAGTGCAGCCAAGCCCTGGAGCCCAGCCATCAGGGCAGGGGGCCACGGCCCAGACCGGGTGCGGCCCCTGCCTACAGCCTCTTCTGGCATGAAGAGTTCTAAGTCTTCAAGTTCACTGGCTTTTGAATCCCGACTCAGCAGGGTATGGACCAATATGCACAGGGCCGGGCAGGGTGCCTGCATACCCTGGGTTGGGAGGATGGAAGAGGGCAGTAGGCAAACCAGTGGCCTCTCAAGGCAGGGAAGGAGGCCCCAAGGAGGGGCGCAGGAAGACCACCATGCCTGGACATGAAGGAATGGAGCTTCTGGGTGAGGGTGGGGGTGCTCTGGGGTCCAGAAAGGAGGTCTACAAAGTGTTTTACACAGTAATTAAGGTCCTCTGCCCTGGGTTGCATGGACGCTCCTGGCAGTCTCCCCCCGCAGCACCGCCCTGGATAGGGGTCGAGGTCATGCATGATCTCCGTAGCCACCTGCAATCCAGTTGTAGTTCTTCAAGCCCCTCTTGCTGGACCCTGCAGCAGCATGGACGCTTTTGATTACACCTTCCATCAGGGAGTGAGTTCTCCTCCAGTTTTCTCCTCCCTTCATCCCTTTGGTCTCTAAGGTTGGGTGGGCCAAGATCACATTCCTAGACTAATCTCTTTTCTTGCTGCATTTATTTATCTACGTGAGAAGCTCATACATAGCTACCCTAAGATGAATTCATAGACATTGGCACCTACCTCATGCAGTACTTTAGAAAAATCAACATGATCTTCTAACTCAAAAGGGAAGTATTAAATAGCATGCATTTCTACCTGCAATGCCTGAGCACAGCTGTGCTAAAAGCCTTGAGGTGTTCCTCAAAGCACTATGGGCCTGACAGCCACATGCAGATGGATTAGAAATGCAGCTACTTCCAGTTGTCCTGTTGATAACTCAACTACAGTGAAGGCTGTGCAGAAGGAGAGATGGGATTGTTTTGAAATAGACACTCTTGGCGAAGTTCTGATCCAAACATGGTGTGGGCTCCCCTTGTTTTTTTTTTTTTTTTTTTTTAATTTTTTATTGGATTATAGGTTTTGGGGTACATGAGCAGAGCATGCAAGACAGTTGCGTAGGTACACACATGGCAGTGTGCTTTGCTTTTCTTCTCCCCTTCACCCGCATTTGGCATTTCTCCCCAGGCTATCCCTCCCCACCTCCCCCTCCCACTGGCCCTCCCCTTTTCCCCTCAAGACCCCACTGTTTAGTACTCCCCTTTCTGTGTCCATGTATTCTCATTTTTCATCACCCACCTATGAGTGAGAATATGCGGTGTTTCATTTTCTGTTCTTGTGTCAGTTTGCTGAGGATGATGTTTTCCAGATTCATCCATGTCCCTACAAACGACACAAACTCATCATTTCTGATTGCTGCATAATATTCCATGGTGTATATGTGCCACATTTTTCCAATCCAGTCTATTATCAATGGGCATTTGGGTTGATTCCAGGTCTTTGCTATTGTAAACAGTGCTGCAATGAACATTCGTGTACATGTGTCCTTATAGTAGAACGATTTATAGTCTTTTGGATATATACCCAGTAATGGGATTGCTGGGTCAAATGGAATTTCTATTTCTAAGGCCTTGAGGAATCGCCACACTGTCTTCCACAATGGTTGAACTAATTTACACTCCCACCAACAGTGTAAAAGTGTTCCTTTTTCTCCACATCCTCTCCAGCATCTGTTGTCTCCAGATTTTTTAATGATCGCCATTCTAACTGGCGTGAGATGGTATCTCAATGTGGTTTTGATTTGCATCTCTCTGATGACCAGTGACGATGAGCATTTTTTCATATGATTGTTGGCCTCATATATGTCTTCTTTCGTAAAGTGTCTGTTCATATCCTTTGCCCACTTTTGAATGGGCTTGTTTGTTTTTTTCCTGTAAATCTGTTTGAGTTCTTTGTAAATTCTGGATATCAGCCCTTTGTCAGATGGGTAGACTGCAAAAATTTTTTCCCATTCTGTTGGTTGCCAATCCACTCTAGTGACTGTTTCTTTTGCCGTGCAGAAGCTGTGGAGTTTGATTAGGTCCCATTTGTCTATTTTGGCTTTTGTTGCCAATGCTTTTGGTGTTTTGTTCATGAAGGCCTTGCCTACTCCTATGTCCTGGATGGTTTTGCCTAGATTTCCTTCTAGGGTTTTTATGGTGCCAGGTCTTATGTTTAAGTCTTGAATCCATCTGGAGTTAATTTTAGTGTAAGGAGTCAGGAAGGGGTCCAGTTTCTGCTTTCTGCACATGGCTAGCCAGTTTTCCCAACACCATTTGTTAAACATGGAATCCTTTCCCCATTGCTTGTTTTTGTCGGGTTTATCAAAGATTGTATAGTTGTATGTATGTTGTGTTGCCTCCGGTGCCTCTGTTGTGTTCCATTGGTCTATATCTCTGTTTTGGTACCAGTACCATGCTGTTTTGATTACTATAGCCTTGTAGTATAGTTTGAAATCCGGTAGTGTGATGCCCCCTGCTGTGTTCTTTTTGCTTAGAATTGACTTGGCTATGCGGGCTCTCTTTTGGTTCCATGTGAAGTTCATGATGGTTTTTTCCAGTTCTGTGAAGAAAGTCAATGGTAGCTTGATGGGGATAGCGTTGATTCTGTAGATTACTTTGGGCAGTATAGCCATTTTCACGATGTTAATTCTTCATAACCATGAACATGGAATGTTTCTCCATCTGTTTGTGTCCTCTCTGATTTCATTGAGCAGTGGTTTGTAGTTCTCCTTGAAGAGGTCCCTTACGTTCCTTGTGAGTTGTATTCCAAGGTATTTTATTCTTTTTGTAGCAATTGTCAATGGCAGTTCGCTCTTGATTTGGCTTTCTTTAAGTCTGTTATTGGTGTAGACGAATGCTTGTGATTTTTGCACATTGATTTTATATCCTGAGACTTTGCTGAAGTTGCTTATCAGTTTCAGGAGTTTTTGGGCTGAGGCAATGGGGTCTTCTAGGTATACTATCATGTCGTCTGCAAATAGAGACAATTTGGCTTCCACCTTTCCTATTTGAATACCCTTTATTTCTTTTTCTTGCCTGATTGCTCTGGCTAGAACTTCCAGTACTATATTGAATAGGAGTGGTGAAAGAGGGCATCCTTGTCTAGTGCCAGATTTTAAAGGGAATGCTTCCAGTTTTTGCCCATTCAGTATGATATTGGCTGTTGGTTTGTCATAAATAGCTTTTATTACTTTGAGATACGTTCCATCGATACCGAGTTTATTGAGGGTTTTTAGCATAATGGGCTGTTGAATTTTGTCAAATGCCTTCTCTGCGTCAATTGAGATAATCATGTGGTTTTTGTTTTTGGTTCTGTTTATGTGGTGAATTACGTTGATAGACTTGCGTATGTTGAACCAGCCTTGCATCCCTGGGATGAATCCTACTTGATCATGATGAATAAGTTTTTTGATTTGCTGTTGCAATCAGCTTGCCAATATTTTATTGAAGATTTTTGCATCTATGTTCATCATGGATATTGGCCTGAAGTTTTCTTTTCTCGTTGGGTCTCTGCCGGGTTTTGGTATCAGGATGATGTTGGTCTCATAAAATGATTTGGGAAGGATTCCCTCTTTTTGGATTGTTTGAAATAGTTTTAAAAGCAATGGTACCAGCTCCTCCTTGTGTGTCTGGTAGAATTCGGCTGTGAACCCGTCTGGACCTGGGCTTTTTTTGTGTGGTAGGCTCTTAATTGCTGCCTCAACTTCAGACCTTGTTATTGGCCTATTCATAGTTTCAGCTTCCTCCTGGTTTAGGCTTGGGAGGACACAGGAGTCCAGGAATTTATCCATTTCTTCCAGGTTTACTAGTTTATGCGCATAGAGTTGTTTGTAATATTCTCTGATGATGGTTTGAATTTCTGTGGAATCTGTGGTGATTTCCCCTTTATCATTTTTTATTGCATCTATTTGGTTGTTCTCTCTTTTCTTTTTAATCAATCTGGCTAGTGGTCTGTCTATTTTGTTGATCTTTTCAAAAAACCAGCTCTTGGATTTATTGATTTTTTGAAGGGTTTTTCGTGTCTCAATCTCCTTCAGCTCAGCTCTGATCTTAGTTATTTCTTGTCTTCTGCTGGGTTTTGAGTTTTGTTGATCTTGCTCCTCTAGCTCTTTCAATTTTGACGATAGGGTGTCAATTTTGGATCTCTCCGTTCTCCTCATATGGGCACTTATTGCTATATACTTTCCTCTAGAGACTGCTTTAAATGTGTCCCAGAGGTTCTGGCACGTTGTGTCTTCGTTCTCATTGGTTTCGAAGAACTTCTTTATTTCTGCCTTCATTTCTTTGTTTACCCAGTCAACATTCAAGAGCCAGTTGTTCAGTTTCCATGAAGCTGTGTGGTTCTGGGTCGGTTTCTGAATTCTAAGTTCTAACTTGATTGCACTATGGTCTGAGAGGCTGTTTGTTATGATTTCAGTTGTTTTGCATTTGTTGAGCAGTGCTTTACTTCCAATTATGTGGTCAATTTTAGAGTAGGTATGATGTGGTGCTGAGAAGAATGTGTATTCTGTGGATTTGGGGTGGAGAGTTCTGTAAATGTCTATCAGGTTTGCTTGCTCCAGGTCTGAGTTCAAGCCCTGGATATCCTTGTTGATTTTCTGTCTGGTTGATCTGTCTAATATTGACAGTGGAGTGTTAAAGTCTCCCACTATTATTGTGTGGGAGTCTAAGTCCTTTTGTAAGTCATTAAGAACTTGCCTTATGTATCTGGGTGCTCCTGCATTGGGTCCATATATGTTTAGGATCGTTAGCTCTTCTTGTTGTATTGATCCTTTTACCATTATGTAATGGCCTTCTTTGTCTCTTTTGATCTTTGTTGCTTTAAAGTCTATTTTATCAGAGATGAGAATTGCAACTCCTGCTTTTTTTTGCTTTCCATTAGCTTGGTAAATCTTCCTCCAGCCCTTTATTTTGAGCCTTTGTGTATCCTTGCATGTGAGATGGGTTTCCTGGATACAGCACACTGATGGGTTTTGGCTTTTTATCCAATTTGCCAGTCTGTGTCTTTTGATTGGTGCATTTAGTCCATTTACATTTAGGGTTAATATTGTTATGTGTGAATTTGATACTGCCATTTTGATGCTAAGTGGCTGTTTTGCCTGTTAGTTGTTGTAGATTCTTCA